TGGCCTGATATTATGTTCTTATTCCAGTGTGGGGTGTGTGTGGGGCAATAGAAGCTGAGTGATAGGGTCTCTCCAAGTGATTGCCAGAAGTGAGATGCGTCCTGGTCTTGTGTCTTACAGATAATCTTACAAATAGTTCTTTGCAGTTATATCATGCTTTCAACTTTAAAAGGATCATAATGCTGATTGTGTGAACTTAGGCAAATCACGAGAGGTAGAGCAGGAAGGGTTGCATCAGTGCTTAGTTCTTGTGGCCATTTCTTACACGCCCAGGGAAATGCTGATCACCACTTTGGGGCCAGGAAGCAATTTTTCTCCAGGCCAGTTTGGCCCCCAGTGATCCTGGAGGTGTTTTTTTTTTATCATATTCTGGGTGTGGAACAGAGGTCACTGGGGTGTGTGGGGGGTATTGGTGAATTTCCTGCATTGTGCAGGGGGTTGGACTAGATGACCCTAGAGATCCCTTCCCAGTCTATGATTCTATAATTCACCCAGGCTGGCTGTGGGCACGCCAGCACCTCTGTCAGGCAGAAGCGCCTGAGATCCTCCTCCTCCCCTTTGCCCAACTTGGAGGCGAAGGGAAGGGAGAGGGGGGAAAGAATGGATCCCAGGTGCTTCTGCCTGTCAGAGGGGCTGGTGCACACTTATTTATTTATTTATATTTGAATTTATATCCCGCCCTACCCCGAAGGCTTAGGGCGGCTAACAAGGGCACCATGTGCCGAGGTTAAAACAGTAAACACATAATTTAAAAACAATAAATTACAGTAAAATACAATAACAAATTCACAAACATTTAGACAAGATGGGGAGATCTTAACTTCCATAACTACTTCCCAAGATCTTATCATCCAAGCCATGCCCAGGCGCCTTGCTCCCCCCTTGGGGGCCAGGCAATCATGATGTTAATATGCCAGAGCATAGGGGGCAAAGGTGGAATAGTGATGTCAGGGGTGTGTGGCATATGCTAATAAGTTATGCTAATGAGCTCCTGCAGCTCTTTTTCTACGAAATGACCCCTGGTGGTAGCCAACCCATAAAAGCTTATGTGGTAATAAAAACTAGGTCTGAAGGCACCTAAAGACTTTCATTTGTTTCCACATTGTTTTATTGCTCCACTATCTTCAGCCCCCCCCCCCACCGTGGAAAGGATAGTCTCTCCTGATGAAAACTCGTAGTAGTTTTGCTCAGCTCAACAGTACCAATTATTTAAGCCCCTACAAAGTAGGCTGCCTGGTCGTGGACTTTTTCTGTGGCCTCTCCCACATTACGAAACAGTCTCCCAGAAGAACATCAGGAAATTGCTGTCTGTATTCCAGTTCCATAGGGGCTTCAAGGTTTGCTGTCTCTAGATTTATTTATTTTGCCTGCTGAATTTTATGAAGGGCAGCAGTGTGTTTCAGACAATATATTTAAGGTTTTAAACTTTCCGTGTGTTAGCTTTGGTGCAGTTAATTGCAGAATAAGACAGGAGACCACTCTGAAGACAAAAAATAAAATATTCCAGCATAAGCATTTGTGTGAAGTGTTGGTTTAGCTTTTGCTACATGTCCTGAGTTCCAGTTACCTGGAAGAAAGGCGAGCCTATGCGTGTTTTAAATTTAAAATATGGAGAAGTGGGTTTGGCTAGAACTCTCCTCTCTTACTGTGTGCTACATCGTGCTGGAGTCTGAAGTGGCACATTCCCCCTCAGCTTCCCCACCCCCTCACCTCGCCACCTGCGAAGACCTGGCTAATCTACTCTGCAGCCAAAACGATGAGGCAATTCCCTGTAGCCATACTTGGCTCACTTGACGAGGCTTGGCCATACTCCGTTGCATTCTGGGACGGCACTGCGAAAATGCGCGAGCTCAGTGGTTCGTCCGCCTAAGGAAGGACCGCGTTTGGGATTGGCTGGACCCCTGGAGAAACCGGTCTGTGATTGGTTCCAAGCGGGAAAGCTGCGCGTCGTCTGCGTCATTACGTCAGCACGCCGCCGCCGCGCCCTCTTACCGAGGTTTGAATGTGAAGCGGAGCTGTAGCTGTAGGAGGCGTTGCTGCTGCTACTCCAGTCGCCACCGCCGCCAGTGTTGTCGGGAGACCCGTCAGGTGAGGGTGCGTCGCCAAGAGCGATAACCTGCCTCTCCTTCCCTGGAAGTTGAGTTAGGAGGAAGGGGAAGCCTTGAGCGACCTTCGAGGCCCCCATAGTTTTCTTGGGTGGTGGTCGGGCTGCGGGCCCACAGAACTACGGAGGGAAGCATCTGAACTTGCTGTGGACATCTGAGCCCGCCCCTTTTTGGCTACGCGCGCTGGTGTTGGTTCCTGGGTCTATTCCTCTATGAAAGTGCCCCGTTGATTGGACCTCGTAGCTGTCACTCTGACGGGTGACCTGAACATCCTCAATCACACTGTCTCTCTCTGTCTCTCACCCCCTCTCCGTTTTCCTTCCCTCCCCAACGACCCGGGAAGAGCAAGCCCTTCTTTTACACCTTGGGGCTGGATAGGAGGAAAGAAGGCCTCCCTCCTCACGAAAGAGGTAGGGGGATGTAAAGAGCAACTAGGGAACTTTAATATGTTTTTTGAAGGAAGCTGTCGTGGAGTTCAAGCTTTTATGGAAGTACCGTATCCACTAAGACGAGGTGGCCAAAGGTTTGGTGCAGATACCAAATAGTAAGAGAAAGCCAACCTACACATGCTTAAAGCACACTGTTTCTTTAAATGTCAGCATGCTTAAAGCAGTCTGCTCCCATTGTATAAGTGTTCCTTACATCCTCCTTGAGTAAAGGTTTTTCACAATGCGTACTGCCTGATCCTTTTAACTGGAGATGCCAGGGATTGAACCTGGGAGTTTCTGCATAAAAAGTTGGGGCACTGGTGCTGTATCTGAGCCACAGCTCAACCTTGATGTTTTCCCTGTAATCTCTGGTGGTATCCTTAAGAGTGTGGTTGCATTCACCAAAATTTTCTAAGTATTTTGAAGTAGATCCAATTCATTTCAGTAGAGACTGGGTCTGAGGAATGCCATTTCTTCTTTTTGCCGAAGTCCCTTGGTTTTGTAGAGTGCAGTTAGCATGTTGGTGAAAAGGTCTGTTGCAGAGTGCACAATCTGTTTTTCCTTCTTTTCTTTGTGTGAGCACACACATATCAAGTAAAATATAACTGGGCAGCTCATCTCAAGTGTGTTCTTGAAGTATCCATATTGCTTTATCTTCATCCTGTTCTTCCCTTCTGTCCCTCATTTTATTGTTTCTCCTACTGTGGAAATGTAGATAGCTGCTTGTTTTCTCTTTGTTCTAAAGTGCCCTGTATAGTGCATAAATATTTGGTAATAAAAATTAATGTAGGATTGTAGTAATCAACCATTTAACAATTTGAAGGAACAAAAAGTCAGTTTAAGGGAAATTTTACAAGTTTATAAAAGAAATTGTGTGAGCTGTTCACTGAGATGAGGTCTATAATACACAGGAGAATCTCTTAAGAAATAAGCAGAAACTGAATTGTATGTTTTGCTTCTGCAAAGCAGAACGTTGCTTGGGCTGTCTCCAAGTTCTGACTTAGAACAGGACACCCAGCAATTCCTGGTTGTGTGATCAATGCAAAATAGATGGCTGTGTCCTTTATTCATTTGCACCCCACCTTTCTCCCAAATCAGTTTACATCATTCTCTCCTCCATTTTATCCTCTCAACCACCCTGTGAGGTAGGTTAGGCTGAGAGAGTGTGACTGGCCCAGGGTCATCCACTGAGCTTCCATGGCACATGGGAATTCAAACCCAGGTCTCCCAGATACTAGTCCAGCATTCTATCACTACCACACTGGCTCTTTCTCTCTTATCAGCATATGGATGATTTCTTCTTCCAGATTCCAAAAGGGTGTCTATATAGTGTGTTCTAGCAAAACAAGCATCTTGTAAAGGGTAACAGGTGTGTTATATACACAAATGCTCATGCCTTAAAGAATGTTACTCTCTAGGGGGCTACTGGGTAGTTTTCTGTTTTACCTCACTTCAAAACGGCAGATGATCTCTTTGAGGAACTTCAGTTAGATATATAAAAGCATGGGTAGTTGTATCAGCCAGTGTGTTGTACTGGTCAGAGTACTGGATTAGGATCTGGGAGACCCATCGTCAAATCCCCACTGCCATGGAAACTCACTGGGTGACCTTGGGCCAGTCACAGCCTAGTCTAACTCATAAGGTTGTTGTGAGAATGTTGTAAGTCACTTTGCCTTCCAGTTGGGGAGAAAAGTGGGATGTAAATGAAATAAATATGCCCGTAGCAAACATACCAGCTCTCACTGAGCTGACCTTACTAATGGTCATCTTTTTATAATTATTTCACAAAACAGATGAAGACTATTAGTGAGTGAGCCATGATAGACTGATGGTTGTTCCAAACATATTAAGAGAATGACGTAGTTCATAGTGTCAAAATTCAGTGATAGTTCCAGCAAGATTAATGAAGATATATTATGTATATTGATATCAAACTTATGATCTACTAAGGCTCTAAAAGCTGTTTGTGTCCCTTTTTGCAGTCTGTGGCTACAATAGAAAATGGAGAGGAGAGTCAAAAAGTTTAATTTTCTTTGTATCATCATCCCCTAGAGCATTCCGGTTTCCCATTTGGATCCATAAGTCCTCAGGGCAGACCAGCCTAATCAGTCCTCAACTTTTTACGGAAGCTGGTCAGTGCCTTAAACAGGTAGTAATCTAACTGTTGCATTGGTATAAGATCAGAACCTGTCAGTGCAAAAAAGTCATTCCAGCAAGTGTGCGCAGGGCTCAGTGCAATCTTGGACACTTCTGTGGAGTCCACAGAGTTCTGAGTTGCACCAGACTAGATATTGACATGGAAATTGACAGATATTGACAGGAAATCAAGTTACTAGCACTTTAGTATGTCTGTGGTTTTAGCTTTTCTATTTGTATTAGGTGATGTTTGATAATTTTATATTATATTATTGGAATTTTATTCTGTTCTTGTGTAAGCCGCCCTGAGCCAGCTTCGGCCAGGAGGGCGGGGTAAAAATCTAAATAATAATAATAATGTTCAAGTCACCCAGCACCATCTCACAATCCCCAAACAGTCCCTTTTGTGTTACTATGAAAATTTTATGACACTTTGGTGGAATTCTTTGTTGATAAAGATAATTATGAGTAATGTGCTTCCTAATGTTGATTATTTTGTCACTGTCAGTATTCAATATAAAATAGCTCTAAGAGTCAAGTATGTTGTAATTACTTGCCCTGGATTGGCTCCAAAGAATGTTGTGGGCAACCAAGATTTTTCACACATTAAATGGGGCTCCCTGATATTTTCCTTCCAACTCTGCTCCCCTCCTATTTCATCATGGTGTGTTGAAGATGGTGACCAAGAGGCTCTGAACTTTCCAGAGTGGGTTTTCAGGAAGCAGAGGATTGGTGAATGAGGGCTAATTCATAAATTGTGAAGCACAAGTAAATGTTTCGACTTGTGTCTTGCCTATGCAGCACCAACAAAAGGCACTGGCGAGGTAGCCGTCCATGAGTATCAAAGAGACAGTGCTGAAAGGCAGGCGTCCTGTGTGGACAAAAAGCCACACAATGGGGGGGGGGTTGCATCAGGGAGCAGGAAGCAAACAAAATTGCCCCCCTCTGCCTTTTTGCATCAGCTTATCCGCTAGCACCAAAACAGACAAGAGTGACAACTTCACCTATGTTCCCCTCTTCACTGGAGCCAATTGTGTTGCATGGCTTTAAACCCTTACTCTTTTGAAGCTCATAGGTAGCGGGGGATATCTACTTCTGCCCATACCTTGTGCAGGAGGGACATAGGATCCAGTCCTCTGTAGGTCTTTGGATCTTGTTCCTGAGTTTATCAGGAATGTCAAAGTACCCTCATTCTGGATGGGGGATTTTTTTTTCTGTGTAAAACTAGTCAGTGACATTATATGGAAAATTTTCAAATACCATATTTTCCCCATTTTAAAAAAAATAATTGTTTACTAATGCTAATCAATAACATAATAAAACACCACCAGTCAAATTGGGCAGTTGCAAAGTTCTAATAAATTTTTCTCAGGAGACTTTTCCAAGGGATTGTGCATTGTTATACACACACACACACACAAATCTCAACTGCCTTCTCCATGCTTTGTGGAGAGACCAGGATCTAAATATTTATAATAAATGAAACATACCATATGAAGTGTGTCTTACCGGATTTTGGGGGGGATATATTTCTGCTCAGCTTCTTTTTGTTATTGAAAAACAACTGAATGATTTATATTACAAGTGGCGGCCTATGAGACTCATGGGGGGAATCCCAACTAGATGTAAAATTTCTGGAAATTTTGAAGCTCAGAAAAAAAAACCCAGGTTTTTTTCGGGGGAAAATGGAAAATTTCAGAAAAATTGAAAAAAAAATGCTACATTAGCACTTTTTTTTTTTTCCAGATTGAAAGTCATTCTGTTACTTTAGGAACATAAAATATGACTATGGACATTTTTACTTGGCATGAAATTATTACAACTAGCATATTAAAAATATAGTGTATCCAAACAATTATTACAAACAGAATACCCACCCACATGCAAAAACAAAACTGAAACCTTTTTCTTTTCTTGTGACAATAGCACCTCCTAAAGGAAGAAATGCATCTTGTTCTTGCATTGGAGAGTTCAGTTTGTAACCTAGGACTTGCTTGTCCTCATTGCACAGACATTAGCTCAATCTTATACCATACATATTTTTTAGAAATGATTTGGAAAATATTTGAACACCTTGTCTTAAAATATTTTATTCATCATGTTAAAATAAAACGTTCCATAATCAATTTTTTTTCTTTTTTCAATTTTTCCAATTTTTTGGGAAAAAATAAAAAAGGCTTCAGGAAAAAAACCAGGGTTTCCCCAAATTTTTCCGGTTTTTTTCCAGGCCTTCACATCTCTAATCTCAACCCCCCAGTTGCCAAACCTAGTGCAGCTCCAGGCTTCATCACCCGCCTTTGAACCCGATTATAGCAGCAGCAGTGCAGAACCAAGGTAAATGCATTGTCTTTGCATGCACAGACAGCATTCTTTGATGGGGAGATTTACCCCCAGTGTATTTTTTAACTTTGCAGATTTTCCTGCAAACCTAGGGGAGCCCTGCCCCCAAATTTGCAGAAGAATCTGTTTTTAGTCATTGTGGCCCCAGTCCATGGATTTAAGTATCTGCAGATCAGTTCACACATGGCTATTAGATATATAGATATCAAATTAACATTTTATTTATTTATTGACATTTGTCTTATTTATATTCACATTCATCTTTCTTTGCTAATATATTGAATCACTCGTTCTCTAGACTGGGTCTTGATTTTTTCTGTGCTCTACATTATAACATGTGTCTTGGGAATGCTGTGCCTTTTGGCATCTCTGTAATATTTTCTCCCTCTCCTTCTCTGTATGCTTTTGTTTATATATTATGTAATATAACCATGCATTTGATAACGTGGCTTTGAATTATAGAATACAATACCTTCTTTAGCCTTCAGGGTGTTATAAGATTATTATTTTGGCTGTAGCAAGCAAACACATCTTCTCTTCTGGATTTCCTTAGTTTTATATGTTGTCAAAGGCTTTCATAGCCGGAGTTCATTAGTTGTTATAGATTTTCCGGGCTGTATGGCCGCGTGGTCTTGGCATTGTAGTACCTGACATTTCGCCAGCAGCTGTGACTGGCATCCTCAGAGGTATAACACAGAAAGATGGAATACTCTCTGTGTCAATGTGAGAAGAAAAATGGTAGGCAGGTAATTTATATCTACTCAGGAAGGTGGGGTAGGGCTGAGTCATTATCTTGTAGGAATTTCCCATGCTAATGGAGAAGCTTTCCTGAGGAGGTTCTTTTGCATATGGATTGGCTGTTGAAATTCTAATCTTATCTGTAGTGCTGTTGTAAGATGTAGAGTACTTGTGTTTTTCAGGACAGGGAACCATGCCCTGTTTATTTTTAAACTCTCTTCTTTCCTGTTGAAATTGTGTTTATGTTTAAGCTCCTCCATTAACATGTCACAACCCGGAAAATCTACAACAACTAATTCTTTAGTTTTGTTTATTAAGTACAAGTTAAATAAATATTCTGTGGCCCCGGTCACACGGCAAAGTTGCCGCGGGAGAGGCACGGATGGTGGGCGGATTATCCGGGCACGATCACACCCCAACATCTGGGAGTGGAGCGCACCTGTGGCTTACGGCCAACAATGCGCCTTGAAAAACTAGTACCTCCAAGGTACTAGTAAACGTTTGCCACGGGCTGCCTCCAGACGCCCGTGGTGTGATCGTGCCAGCGTGCGGCATTCCCCTCCGGTCCCTCGTTTACCCGCCGGCCGAGGGAAGGACCCGTGGTGTGCCGCCGGCGCGTCTGATCGCGTAATTGCGCATCAAGCTGCGCAGGGCCAATTAACCACGCCTCCCCCTGGTAGCCTGGGTGATTAATGTTTGCACATATAAAGGAACTGAAATATTTTTTCAAACTGTTAGATAAGTCATTTGTGCAGTACAGTGAATGGACATGTTCAAAGCACCATGCTAAATGGTGTACTCTGGAAAAATCCTTGTTTGGTTCTACAAATGAAAATTAGTTTGGGTTTCAGGGCTATCTAATAGCTTGCCCCAGCATAGTATTTGATTTTTTTTTAAAGTCTGCTGTACAGGAAACATTTATCTTGAAAGTTTCCCATGACAGGGAAAATACTACTGACGATTCTTTAAACCCGTGGTTCTCAAAGTGGACTGTAGCTGTGACCTGCAGGGCTGTCTGTTGCTTTCCGTAAATCAATAAATCAGATCAATGCTTCTGCTACATTAAAAGGACTTGGTGGCAGGATTTGAGAATTCATGCTTTAGATGCCTAAATGGATTGAAAGAGCCACACAGGGTGTAACAGATGATAGCCACGCATATAAATTACAAATTATTTCTGCTTGTGTTATATCTTTAGTTCATTTTTGTGGGCAGGAGGGTGTTTAGTATATTGTATTTTCTGGCATCATTCTTAACACCAGTTTCCTTTTAAAAAATTGTGTGCTGAGGTGCATAAAATGGGTCACATGGGCTGCGGTCACACGGAGCAGTAAGCACGCAAGAGGGACGGAAGGGAGGCGGAGTTTCCGGGCGCGATCTCACCGCAACATCTGGGGAGCGTAGAGCTCCCGTGGCTACCCATGGCTACCGTCCGAAGACGCGCAGTAAAAAACTAGTACCTCCGAGGTACTAGTTTCCGGAAACTGCGCAGCAAGGGTGGGCGCCTGATCGCGCCCCTGCCGGACTCCTGTGGCATCCGGCGCCTGCCGGGTGGTTCCCCCCGCCTCCAGAAGCGCCCAACAGCGTGTGCGCACAAAGGCGTGCGGCGTTAGGGTCGAGGGAGGCCCATGGGGGGCTGCAATGGGGGCGAGCGGCAGCGGCCAGGCAGAGAGCGGGCCGCGTGTCCCGGGGGGGGGGAGGGAGGGCAGGCGGGCAGGGAGGATCCGGCGGGTTACTCCCCCCCCTCCCCTCCCCTCCTTGTGAGCGGCCCACGGATCCTGCCCAGAGTGGGCTATGCACGGCCTGTTCCATCCCCTTCCAATTGGCCGGATGCTCTCAGTGGAGGTGCGGATGCTCGTGTGATCGGCACCTCCACCTTAACTACGGGACCTCGCTGGGACCTCGCCGGGTCGTCTGATCCTGCTGCCGCGAGGTATTTTGCCCCGGGGCTAATAGCCACGCTCCCCCCCCCAGTTTCCTGCCCGTGTGACCGCAGCCTTAGTTGTTCTGTGTATCTAACACCCTAAAAGTGTACTTTAGAACATTTTGTTTATTTTTAGGTTCTATAGTTATGGAGCTGAGTGATGCCAATTTGCAGACTCTGACTGAATATTTGAAGAAGACGCTAGATCCTGATCCCGCTATAAGGCGTCCTGGTAAACAGTTTGTATTCTTAAAAATGATGTTTGTTTAGCTATTCTCTGCCTAAGTGATCATTAGATTTTTTTCAGGAGTAACAGTATTGCCTAAGAATTAAGGGCTTTGCAGACTAACAATATTCCATATAAAAGAAGCAAGCTTGAAACTTTATGGGACATAACGTTCCTCTGAAACAGCAGGCCTAGTGCTCAAATGAAAAAGTAACACAGCTTCACATGTGCCAAATGGGACGCCCTCTACCAGTGTCACAACATAATGCAATGTTGTGAGAAGAAGAGAATATTAAGCTATGATTTGGGGTCAATTTTCTTTTCAAAAGTTGAAGGATTCTCAAATTGTTCTTGAAAATTCCAATTTCATACAAAAATCAGTGGTATAAAAGATGCTATTAGCAAGGTTCTGATCGGGTGAAACATGTGGGTATTGTAAGAGACACAGAAATAATCTCACTAAGATAAGGGAAAGGGTAGGGAGGGGGTCGTTTTTTACACTTGTACTTATTAACCTTAGGACAAATTAGGATAGGAAGGTTTTTCAAACTGTTAGCTTGCCAAAGATAGGGGAGCAATACAATTCTTTCTGCAAGCACAAATTTATTGTATAGTGCGGGGGGCCCCAATGTGGTGCCTGTAGGCGCCTTGTTACCGCTGACACCATTTCCTGGTGCCTGCCAGGTTTTTTTAGAAAGTGGGTGTGATCAGGTGGTGCCAGTGGAGCTTCTGATTGGCTGTTGGAGATCTGACAGATACTGCCAGATGAGTGTTTCTTAGTGAAATCTGTGGGCATACATTTCTTTGTATACAATATGTTCATGTTTTAAAAAGCATCCTGTTAAACAGAGCTTCTGCCTGAAATGCTGAAGAGCTACAATCAGAGTTACACATAAGCTCACTCCCTGACATTCTGTGATTGGCTCCACCGCCTGCGACAGACGTTTTGTGGTTGTGCCCACCAGCCTGTGTCAGATTTCTAAAGGTAACAGCAAAAGCACTGTAATAAGATACTAAATAAAACTGAAATTAAATAAACTTGTGTTTTTTCTGTTGTGCAAAATATATACTAAAGTCTACAAAGATAATAAAGTCTACAAAGGGAAGTGCAATGTTTAAAACAACAAAAATATCCTCCTATACAAGCATTAGAAGATTTTGGTTAATTTCCAGTTATTTTTGTTAAAATCTGAACTGGTACCCTATAATAAGATATCTGTAAACAACTGCAGAACTATTCTGGAATGATTGTTACCTCTCTGGCATTTACATACACTTTGAAGAAAATAATTTGTAACATTATTGATACTGGTTTCACTGAAGAGGATTAACAAAATGAGTGAAGCTATATCCGGGATCCTCATGTGACTCTTCTTTCAAATGACTTTGTGATTCTTCTTTCATATTTGAAAGTTTGGTGCAATAGTTAGGGGCATGGACTCTAATCTGGGAGAACCGGGTTTGAATCCCCACTCCTCTACATGGAGCTGCTGTTGTCATAAGTTCTTTCAGAGCTGTTCTCTCAAGGACAGTTCTCAGGAGAGCTCTCTCAGCCCCATCTACCTCACAGGGTGTCTGCTTTGCGGAGGGGAAGGGAAAGGGATTGTAAGCCGCTCTGAAACTCCTTCGGGTAGTGAAGGGTGGAGTTTAAATCCAATCTCTTCTCTTCTCTATAATGTTGATTCATTTTGTAATTATTTTTTGTTGATTTAAAATTGTACTTTTGTAGACTTTATTACATTTGTTTTTGTTGTTCAGTCGCACCGTTGAGTCTATATTTTGCACAATAGAAAAAAATACTATACACAAGTTTATTTACTTTATTTGAGTTTTATTTAGTGTCTTATTACAGTGCTTTTGCTGTTACTTTGATCCTTTAGACACTGTAATCCTTCTTATGCTAGATTTCTAAAGGTGCCTGTTGGCTCAAAAAGGTTGAGAACCCCTGATACAGTGTATTTTTATTTATTTATACTTTTGATTTATATTCCGCCCTCCCCGCATGTATGCAAAATGGAAAACTTATTTCAGTAATCAGCTTTTCTCAAACTGATTTTTGCAGTAGTAGAAATGAGTAAGTCCAGTAGCACCTCAATGACTAACTAAATTTGTGGTTAAGGTATGAGCCTTTGTGAGTCACTGCTCACTTCGTCAGATACTATATCTGATGAATACCATATCTGAAGAAGTGAGCAGTGACTCTCAAAAGCTCATACTCTACCACAAATTTTGTTAGTCTTTAAGATGCTACTGGACTCTTACTGTGAGAGAGCCAGCTTGGTGTAGTGGTTAAGAGTGGCGGACTCTAATCTGGAGAACTGAGTTTGATTCCCCACTCCTCCACATGAAGCCAGCTGGGTGCCCTTGGGCCAGTCACAGTTCTCTCAGAACTCTCTCAGCCTGACCTACCTCACAGGGTGTCTGTTGTGGAGAGGGGAAGGGAAGGTGATTGCAAGCTGCTCCGAAACACCTTCAGGTAGTGACAAGTGGGGTGTAAAACCAACTCTTCTTCTTAATAACATTTGGAGCTGGATGCACTTGTTTTGTTGATCTGCCATTTCAGAGTCCAAAGGAACTAAAGCAAGGACATCGTTTAGACTATGCTGGTTTATCAGAATTTAGTGGAGACTCAGAATTTAAGCAGCCACAGCTGCTGAATCTGTATTCAGAACTGGTTGTGGTTGAAAAGGCAGAAATGTAGCTCTGGTCAGACTGAAAGTATTGTAGATATGAGAACATTATTCTCTATTTCTTTCCTTTATGAGCTATGTAAATGTTAGCATTTGCTGACTGCCTTCTATTTGAAGTAAACTCTGTGAAATTGTTCAGACTTTTTGCTAACTTCAGGATATTCCTTTGCAGCGGAAAAATTCCTTGAATCTGTCGAAGGAAGCCAAAATTACCCACTGCTACTCTTAACGCTGCTAGAGAAGTCACAAGATAATGTTATCAAAGTCTGTGCCTCTGTCACATTCAAGAATTACATCAAAAGGAACTGGAGAATTGTAGGTATTCCGGTAAATCATGCCAGTGCCTAATGTAGTTCTGAATCCTGTAGAACTGCAAGTACCCTTTGAGCTTGTGTGGGTAGCAGCAGAAATTTCACAGTTGAAGCTATCCAATAGTAGCTTACTGCATTTGTATCTCTTTTGTGAGGCCAGCGCTGAGCAGAACCCTGCTTGCTTTGGTCAGCAAATTCCACCCATGCATTTGTTTTCCCGGTGCAGAATGTACAGCTGGGGCTGTGTCAGGCTGCTTTGATTCTAGGCTTATTGGGATTTTGATCGGAGGCGGGAAGTAGGGAGGCAGGTTTCATGCATCTGTATGCCACTTAGAGCACGAACTGGTGCAAAGATCTGGACCCACTAGTTGGGAAAGTGTCCTGTAAAGTATTTGTTGCTATTTGTATGGAGAACCCCTTGAACGTGGGACACATTGAGCTTGTCCAGAGTGTTCTCTGTGAAAACTTTTTTATGTGGAGATGCTGTTAGTGTTATAACGCTTGGTAATGCTGATCAATGCCACTGTAACCTTGAGGATAGATTAATGTAATGCATTGTATGTGGGGCTGGCTGTCTCTGAAAACTCTTCAGTTGTCACAGAACACTGCCACTAGATTATTAATCAGTTATTCCATTATGGTTATGTAACACTAGTAGTTGAGCAGCTTCAATTGTTACCTGTTTGTTTCTGGTCACAATTCAAGGTGCGGGTTGTTACATTTAAAGCCCTTCACTGCATGAGTTCAATGTATCTAGTGGACCACCTTTTCCGACATGATCCTGTGCACCAACTAAGGTTGTCAAGTGCATCACTTTTGGCAGTCCCCTCTATTTGGGGAGGTTTGCTTACGTACAGCACATGCACACTCGTTTACTGTGGCCATGGCCACACTTTGGAGTAGCCTGCTGGATATGGTACAGCAATCCTCTCTCATTCTCTCTTCCATAACAGGTGCAAAGCAGAATTATTTTGATGCGCTTTTGGTGGAAATAACTAACAAATGTCTCTGACAGCTGGTCATTGTATATGTTGTAACAGTTGCAGTTAACCTGATGTGCATTGTTTTATGTGTTTTTAACAGTATATGTTTATATTTTGTTAGCTGTCTTTGGATTTGTGGAAAGGCTGGATATAAACATTTTAAATAAATGAGTTAACTTAACATTTTGTTTGTAGATCGAAGATGAACCAAACAAAATCTGTGAAACAGACAGGATAGCCATTAAAGCCAACATAGTACACCTGATGCTTAGCAGTCCAGAACAAATTCAAAAACAGGTGAGGAGACAGTGACATCAAATAGAAGCCTTCTTATTTGTAGAGGAGAATGTTGTGTTTGGTATGAAGTACTCATTGCAAAATAAGATACAAACCAAGCTAGAATATCTGTGCATTCTTCCAAATATATGAATGATTCTTAAAAGTAAATTGATAAATGCTGCATTGTCATAAAAGCCATGATTTCTTTGCTCAGCAAGGCATAGACAGACAGGAATGGGAATGGCTATGATTGTAGTTCCATGTTACTGCCCTGTATCATACAGTTCCACTCAGCTTCTTCAACTTAAGCAATGCTTCCGCTAATGGAAGGGTAGGAGGGAAGGCTCCTTGGTTAGAAGGCAGGTTGGCATTTTCTTTTTCCTCTCATGCACCTGCTGAAGATACAAAATACAGAAATGCAGGAACATGTGACTTTGGGGTATGCTAGTCAATATGCAGGCTGTGTTGGGGACCAGTAGGCATGTTTCTACCATTTTCATTAATTATGTGTTTAGCACTATGTCTTCTCTAGTTTCTGGGGAAAGTCCTGTATTTAGATAACTATAAGACAACTTGGGAAGCGAACCATGGCTCAGTATCTCAGGTTCAATCCCCAGCATCTCCAGCTAAAAGGATCAGGTGGTAGGTGATGTGAAAGGTATCCCACCTGAGACCCCTGAGATAGAGAGCCACTGTCAATCTGGGTGGACAGCACTGACTTAAATGCATCAGTAATGTGATTCAATATCGGGCAGCTTCATGTGTGTTCTACAGTATTTTCTTACAAATCACTACATGTTTGTACTTTCTTTTTAGTTAAGCGATGCGATCAGCATCATTGGTAGAGAAGATTTCCCTCAGAAGTGGCCTGACCTCCTGACAGAAATGGTGAACCGCTTTCAGAGTGGAGACTTCCATGTTATTAACGGAGTCCTTCGCACAGCACACTCTTTATTTAAAAGGTACGGAGAAGCAGCATAAATTTCTGTGTTCCAGTTTGAACGCAAAAGCTTTATTTTAGCAAGAATAGCTTTTGATTGCTGCCTCATTTCCTTTACACAGATGGTTTTCAACCCTCCTAAAATTTATCACATACAACTTATTATGACTTTACCTTTTTTGACAGGTACCGTCACGAATTTAAATCAAATGAACTGTGGACGGAGATCAAACTTGTCCTTGATGCCTTTGCACTACCACTGACAAATCTTTTTAAGGTACAGCATTGTGAAATCTAGAATTTACTTAAAAGAAAGCTTAATCCTTAATATCTGTCACCTGTGGGAAGGTCTTTTTTCCATCACAGCCACCCTTCCCATGTTGCTGTAGGTCTTTTATCAGCTAAGAAACTAACATATTATTCCAAATGGGTAGCCCAGATTGGTCTGTAGCAACAAAATAAAGCAGGAGTTCAGTGGCACGTTAATAACAGAATTCCAGTGTCACATTTCGTCAGTCAGAGCTCACTTCATCTCGGGCCTGAAATATACATTCACAAGGTTGATCCATTTAGATAAGGTGGACTGTGATTCTTGTTATCCATCTGTTATGCTCCTCTCTTTTTTTTCCCTTTAAGAGCTCTCAGGTGCATAGGAATTCTACAGATGCAGTTTCATTCATCAGCACTGTAGTGGTGGAAATAGCAGCTACCCACTGAACTTCCCAGCTTTGGAGTTCCTAATTCTTAACATGTTATAGCACAACTCTGTAAGAAGCTGCTAGGTGGTATAGTCCCACCTTCCGTGAGACAGTTTTATTTTAGAAATGCTTTTAATAAGCTGGGTGCCTGTATGTAACCTTTAGGGGAAGAGAGAGGAGACATCTGATTTTTATTATCTAGAATAATTTAAGTTCTCAGGACTTAAGCTGATTTCTGCTACTTACCCTTTTTTCCCTTTAAGTTCATCTGTACTTAACAATCCTTCACCAGTCTAACACATTTCAGTTCTCCTCAGGCTTGTGTTAGACGTTTCCCCCCCCCTTTTTATTTCTTTTGATTAATTATAAAATCCTATTTTTGGCACATCTGATGAGACACTCCCACCTTTTCTGTGGGAGGTTTTGTTTGTTGTTTCTATCATTTACATAAGGGCTGATAAATATAGTGATGTTGGTAATAGTATTGAGTTCTTTATGCTGCTTAGCTGCTGGTTTTGTTTTTATGGTTAAGCTTTTTGCCTTTATACCTCTCACTATAAATATATCTTAACCAAAATGAAACGTTGTCAGGTACGTTGCACTTACATGCTGGTGGTGGTGCTGATCTCTTTTCATCTAGGCCACAATTGAGCTTTGCAGTACTCATGCAAATGATGCCAGTGCTTTGAAAGTGCTCTTCTCCTCTCTGATTCTGATTGCTAAGCTGTTCTACAGTTTAAATTTTCAGGTAAGCCATCTTTGTTTTGATTTGTTATTTTCCTGATATCTGATAGATCTGCTCTTCTGAGCCACAACCTAACATGTCCAAGGTGCCTGAAAATTCAAGCGGCACCTTCAGTGGTGGACAGCGGCTGGGTGATCAAAGATCGCAGTATTGCTAGTTGAAAATGATTAAATATTTATAGTTTCTCAAAAATCTGGCTGCATAAATGTGCTAGGATAAATTATTTAAAAAGCATTAACAAGTTTAAAGGAATGTGCAAGTTCCCTCTTGGCATTAAAAATACAATTTTCGTGATCTTTCACACTTGAGTGCTTCTCCCGTTCCTTCTGATAAGAGTCCGTTTAATAAAGCTTGTGATAAGAAGCAAATAGGAGAAAATGAATAACAGCTTTTGACAGTCAAGAGTTCCTAATCTGAGGGTGCTGGGCCTATTTAAGTAAGAGCAGACAATATTTCCAATTAAAAAGTTGTTCTTGCCTGTATAGCTAGCATCCTCTGTGGGACAGGATTCATGAGTGGGTGCTTTGGTATTCTTCCTCAAGTGATATTTTGTCCTTTTTTTGAGCAGATTGCCTGCCAAAATAGAGTAGAAAATATGCTGCTTCTAACTGAACAAACTAAAATCTGGATCTTAATTTTGTTAGGATCTTCCTGAATTTTTTGAAGATAACATGGAAACCTGGATGATGAATTTCCACAACCTTTTAACTTTGGATAACAAACTCTTACAGACAGATGTAAGTAATTACATGAATGTTTTTTAAGGTTTCCATGTAATGAGAACATTTTTCTTTAATGTACACATTTTGCAAAAGTTCAGGTTTATCTAACAGATAAAAATAATTGCCTGTACCTTCCAGCATAATAACAGAATATTAGCTCTGTTACAGTTATCATAATGTTTTATGACATAAGCATGTTTATACAGAGCAGACAGGGTAAAAATGGAAACATTAAATAATAAAGGGTTTGGGTTGTGCTTTTATTTATTAGGATGAAGAGGAAGCTGGTCTACTAGAGCTTTTGAAATCCCAAATTTGTGATAATGCAGCCTTGTACGCCCAAAAATATGATGAAGAATTTCAGCCTTACCTTCCGCGTTTTGTCACAGCAATCTGGAATTTATTAGTCACAACTGGTCAAGAAGTTAAATATGATTTGGTAAGCTTAACTGTGTGTCTCTTTTCTCTCCAGATTGAGATGAACTTTTTAGTATTTATTGAAACTAAAGTTGCTTTATGTCTGTCTTGCAGTTGGTAAGCAACGCAATTCAGTTTCTGGCTTCAGTTTGTGAGAGACCCCATTATACACACCTTTTTGAAGACCAGAATACGCTGACGAGTATTTGCGAGAAAGTCATTGTTCCCAACATGGAATTCAGAGGTAGTATTTTTACTTTTTAAAATGGAATCTTGATGGTTTTTTACAGGAATCAGAAACTGCTGAATCTTCAGCAGAGAGAGCTTCAAGACATTTGGTATATTATGTAGCTTTTTGCTAACTGATATCCTAAAGAGGCTTACAACATGCATTTGAGTAGGCAGAATAGTAAAGACACTCTTCTGCTTCTACATGTTAATAGTGAGAAGTGAAATTCCTTCAGATACCTAGAGAAGTTGAGTTTTACCTCCCACTGCTCCATTTAAAACGGAGTTTGTTTTTAGCTTATGAAATATAACCGTGGCAAGAGCTGTTGAACCATTCTTTTCCCCCAGCCTCTTATTCTCAAAAGTCTTTCTATTCTTAGCAGTCATCAAAACATACTGACTATTGCACAAATGCATGCCAGTTGAATCCAGGCGCTAATGAGGCTCATGCTGTTTGCAGAAGTCCAGATTTTTTTCTTTGAACACAAAGTGCTTTTAAATCATCCCTTAGCTTCACAAGCAGTTTGTAGTACAACAAGGGAGATTACTGTTCAGAAGTGCCAGTCAATCTCCTGCATGGGCTCATGAAGCAAGCTGCATGATGGTTTGGATCCGGATCTGAATCACAGATCTCAATAAGAGTTTTGCATTTACCGATTCCAGCTGCACATATTGATGGTTTCTCAGCCCTAGTTAAGTGCATCTCATAGACCATTCTTGGTCCTAGTAACTTCATTAAAAAGGGTATAAAACTGTGACTGGCTTATTTCTACCATGTCATGCAGAAGAACTCACTAGAAAAAGCAATTATGCTTGGTTTGGTTAGCGGCCAAAGGAAACTGGGCCGCCAAAGAATACGGTGGCTAGACACAATAAAAGTCATCACCAGCCTGAGAATGGAACAACTCAAAGAAACAGTACAAGATCGGAAAATGTGGAGAGATCCAGCCCATAGAATTGCCAAGAATCAAACACGACTGAATCGCTAACAAAATAGTTTATTTTAAATGAAATAAAGATATTGCAAACTTAACATATATTACTTACATGTGTGGTTTAATATTAATACAAATCTAATTATTTTTCTGTGGACTACTTTTTTGCAGCGGCTGATGAAGAAGCTTTTGAAGATAATTCTGAAGAATATATCCGAAGAGACTTGGAAGGATCTGGTAATAACAATTTTTTATATTGGCACTAAGGAACTGAAGCAGTTTGCTGAACTTTGATAGGGAAAAATGACAGTCTTCTCATCCTAGAGTAGGCAGTCAGTTGTTAGTGTGTTAAATACTGCTGTCCTTCAGGCTTTAGATGTATAATGGGTGTATTTTTGCATTTGTCCTGAGATTCTTCCATCACACAAGGATAGCACTTACTGGGATACATCTGATGGCCTTTGAAGCAATTTTGCTTGATCTGAGGATTAATGATTTCTTAGCTTGTGTTAAGGGGTGTCCACAAAAAAAAGTTCAGGATTTTTCAGATTCTAATATATCGGACCCCCCAAAAATTTGGGATTCTCGGAAAAACTCGAATTCCTATACTGGTATTGTATTCAGATTTGGGTTTTTCCAGAAATCCCAATTTTTTAAATAGCTTATGGGACCATTATAGTCAATGGGGAATCTATCTGGAGGTATCCAAGGGTGGTGGTAGGGTTGCTTTTTGAGATAGAGGCACCACAATTTCAGCATAGCTTCTGTTGCCTCTCCTCAAAAGACGCCCCCAAGTTTCAAAAAGATTGGACTCGGGGGTCCAATTCTGTGGGCCCCCAAAGAGGGTGCCCTTATCCTCCATTGTTTCCAGTGGTGTGGGAAAATAGCAAAAAAAACTAAGGACTGATGTCAAACCAGAGAGTCTAGAAACTGAAGGGGGGGATTTTTCCAAGCCAAACAGAACCAGTGCATGGACAGAGTGCCCCACAAACCCAGTGCGTGTACACAGTGTCCAAAGAAGGTGCCCCCATTTTCCATTGTTTTCAATGGAGGGAAAAAAGAAAGCATTTAAGGGAAGGCACTGGGTTTTGTTGGATGCTAGTAAATAGCACTGGTTCTGCTGGGCACTCAGTACATGCTGTGCTAGGCTTGCAGGCCCCCCACACACTTGGATTTGTTGAGCTGGCATTACCACAATGGCATTTGTTCTTCTGGGCTCTCTGTACATGCACTGGCTGTGGTAGGCTTGCCACCACCCTTGCTTGGATTTGTTGAACTGGCATTGCCACAGTGGCACTGGTTCCCCCCCCTTCAGTTTCTACTGCAGAGACTCTCTGATTTGACATCGGACTCTTGCTTTTTTGCAGTTTTCCCCTCCATTGGAAATGATGGAGGATGGGGCCCCATAAAATTGGTCCCCCTGGTCCAATTTTTTCAAAACTTGGGGGGTGTCTTTTGAGGAAAGGCACCAGAAGCTATGCTGAAAATTTGGTGCCTCTAACTCAGAAAACAGCCCCCAGACCCCTGCATACCCCAGACAGATTACCCATAGTAGCCTATGGGGATCATTTACTATAATGGTCCCCATAGGCTATAAGGGAGCCTAAGGCATTTATAAAAGTGTTGCTGTCCTTTTAAATGCATTTGCGAAGCTGCAGCTTCACCTGGAATGGCATTTAAAGGGAGTGCACTTTCTCTAAACGCCATTTAACTGCCACTATCCTGATTTCCTGGATAATGCCGAATTTGGGGGGGGGGGGGGGGTATGTATCCAGGATTGGCTATGCTTCTTAGCCAAAAACACACCCCTCTCGATATCTGTCTGAAAGAATGGGTAAGTTCCGTACAGCGGTAAAAACGGAGCTGTTTCACCAGGCATTCCAAATAAAAACTGATTGCTCCGGTGGGGCCGCACTAGCACTTTATTACAGGATGCCGCTGTATTTATTTATTTAGCCTAACTGTATGTATTGAAATTGTATGAATTGTATTTTATTTTGTATTTGCTGGTTTTAAACTGTTTGTTGGTTTTAAATTGTTTGTAAGCCGCCCTGAGCCACTTCGGCGGGAGGGCGGGGTAGAAATTTAATAAATAAATAAAAATAAAATAAATACTGATAAGGTATTTTCCAGCAATTTTTTCGCCTCAAAGCCAAATGCACACCCTACTTGTGTTTTAATAGTTGCTAGTTTTTTCACGTTTGTGATAAGGGTGTGTGTGTGTGTGAAATTATTAGCAGCAGCACTCTTTCTGCTTAAGACAATAGCTGTAAGAGTGATAGACAGGCAGACCTCATCTGTTGAGGCTTTGATCAGTAATATATGGATTCTTATTGTATTTTAATTGATGTATTGTAATTGTTTTTAATTGTTTGTCTGTTATGTCTGATGGAACCTGCCCTGAGCCTGCTGTGCAGGGAGGGTGGGATACAAATCTAATAAAATAAAAAATAAATCAAGATAGGAAGATAGATAGGAAGATAGAACAGCAGCACTGTGGGACAGCATAATATAAAGTGAATCACCTTCTACACCTTCATTTAATTAATATCTGCTTCCTTCTTCTTCTGGAAACTTACCAGCTGTGAACGTTGTCTCAAATAGATATCCATGCCCTTCTGCTGGAGCTCAGCTAGCTGGAGACCTTCCCTGTAGGTAATCTGCCACTCCATTCTTTCTACAGCAATACATTTCCCTCTGTTCTGATTAATCAAAACAGAGTTCCGTCTGTTGTACTGTAGTGCTGTAAAAAGAATGGAGTGGTGGATTACTTACAGGAAAGGTCTTCAGGTATCTGAAGCACAATAGAAGTGCTAGAGAAGATGACCGGTTACAGTGCTCCACTAACTGCTTACATCAAGACATCAGTCCAGTATATACCCACTTGAGACAGTCTCCAGTGAAGTATCTAGGATTTATTTCTTAGGAATGCATAGAATCAAGTTGCAAAAGTTTATGGGGCACAGACCAGTGTCTGCAGGACGCAGGCCATCCTTATGGGCTCTGTATGAAGTTGCTAACTGCATTGAATAAGATACGGTGTACTTTCGATATTTTCTAAATTCAGCTTTGTAGTAAAATTCTGTGATGATCTGTGTCGAATGCTAATAATTAAACTAATGCATCTTTGTATCTTGGGACCACATAAGGTGACTGGATACTGAGCCTATCTTATTAGCATTTATAGAATGATTTTTTGCTCTTTATGAAGAGCCAAATATTTATGTATTATTTGTTTGTTTATGTATTAGTTTTTACTTTATATCCCACCTTCGTTGCTGAGACTTGAGGAGAATCAGTCAATGTAAATAATGTAATTGGATAGCACAAGGCATCTACTGACCAATTCAATAGGACTAGGATTAGAACATTAGAAAAACAATGAAAAAGAAAACAGTATCATACAGGATATATCACAGTGTAGTCCCTGGCCGTGAAGGGATTTATAGGGGATAACCAGTATCTTGATTTGTACCTGGTAACTGATAGATAGGAGTAACTGCAGAATGGGTGCAATATGCATACTCCGCATAACTCCTGATAGTATCCAAGCTGTGCCATTCTGTACCAGACGGGGTTTCCAAGTTGACTTCAAGGACAAACCCATGTAAAGTACAATATAGTACTCTAGCCTCAAGGTAAATGTGACATTAAATCTAAATGGCCAGATCAGCCAAACTGAAGTGGTGAACCATTGTACAGGTTAAATAAGGGTTGTAGAAAACATTTTCAGCAATAGTACTGTGTGCAGAATATCCCTAGGCTGTTAACACCAAGTTAGCAAGGATTAGCTGGACCCCATTAAATGTGGGAAGCACAAGGGTCCTTCAGGGTCTCAGCCTTGCCAACGAGGACTCAGATTCTCAGGACTCTATATCCTCGGATTCAGCTTGTTCACCCGTAGGCGTTTAACCACAGCAGTCCAGCAGTGGCTCAAAATCACTACAGGAATACTAGATCAAATTTGGATAAAGAAATGCAGAGCCAGTTGTCATCAGCTTGCTGATGACAACCCACACTGATAACAACTAATCTCACCCACACTGACAGCTAATGATGACAAATAATCTTTTTTCTCTTTTTTTTGGCCCCCCGAAGGGGATTTTTTTAAAATTGCTTTTCTAATAACTACAAACAGAAAATTAGGAAAGGGAAACTACAATCTAAGGGAGAAAGTAAAGAAAACCCTCTAAAAACCCAAGAGATGGTGATCATACATACATTTGCAAAATTACTTTTAAGTTTAAACACGTTAACTTTTGTTGAAAATGATCATCTATTTAAATATTTAGAGATTCATCAACAATTTTAGTTTCATAAAAATACTGTGAAAAGATATACAATATACTTGTTCTAGATACTCCAGAGTAGATTAACAATCTATTCCCCCCCCCTTTCTGTGTCTCAATTGATAGCTTTGTTTGGGGGCAACAGCCCCCAATTTAGAGTCAGAGTCTTCTTCGGAAGATCCAGCCTCTCCTTCTTCGCTTTCTTTGGCAGCATCGGTCGCACCTTCTCCTGCTGGACTGCTATTTTTACGCAGAAACTTGATGACAACTAATCTTGAACAGTAGCCCTCTGAGTCCAGTTCATAAGGACCTGTTTAAACCACTCCAAAACATATCCCTTGGTACTTAACTCTGTCTCTAAATATCTCAATAAGATGGTGTTGTCCACAGTATCAGCGGCTGCAGAGAAATCTAATAAGAGCTACAAAGGTGCGTGGCTCCTGTCTACATTAAAACTGAGATTATGAGCTAAAGCCCCCAGTGCTGTCTCCTCCCTTTAGCTCAGTCTGAAACCAGACTGAAAAGGGTCCAGAGTAGATGTGTCACCCAGAAAGACCTGGAGTCCTGCAGCCTCTCTCATATTGCCTGAAATGCATATTAATTGCCCACATCATTCTTTGGTAGCAATGGTTTATTAAGTAATGGACAGATAAAATTTTTGAGAGGCAGAGGCAAGGCACCCTTAGTCAGTGATTGATTTATAAATGACATCAAAGACTCATTAATATGATCCTTACCTGATTTCAGCAACTCAGAAGGACAACTGTCCACAGCACAGGTGGTAGTTTTCACAGATCCCAAGATGGTACTGGGTCAAAATAATCCATAAATGCACCAGATGATAAATCTTGTCTGAACTGTATTACAACATATTGGTGGCAATCACACACACTAAATAATCCACTTTCAATGCACTCTACAACTGGATTTTTACTGTGTGAACTAGCAAAATCCAGTTTGAAAGTGGATTATTTAGTGTGTGCAACCACAACCTTAGTAATTTTTTATTGCTTATACAGCTTTCATGATTAGAGTAGGCTTCTGTTACCCTATTAAATTGCTCCACCCATATAAAATGATGGGCTTGGACTTTAGTTGTTCTGTGTCACGGTGGAATGAATCTGAGTTCCATGTGCTTCCCAAGTAGCTCTTCAAAATCAAGATAAGACCGTGTTGATTGTAACCTGCCATGTGTTTTATTTTCACTTGTGTCTTATACAGATATTGATACCAGACGTAGAGCAGCTTGTGATCTAGTGCGGGGTTTATGCAGATTTTTTGAAGGACCTGTGACAGGGATCTTCTCTGGTTATGTTAACTCTATGCTGCAAGAATATGCAAAGAATCCATCTGTCAACTGGAAACATAAAGATGCTGCTATTTACCTTGTAACATCTTTGGCCTCAAAAGCTCAGACACAAAAGGTACCATTGGTCTTGATAGGAATTACCTAGCGCTACAGAGGTTACCTGCCGTAGGCCCTAAAAACAAACAAAACCGTTGTTTAATATTAAGTGTCACTCTTCGGAGATGCTAGATTTCTGCTGTGTAACATTATTTTTCTGTGTACTTTATTTATACCCCACTTTTCTCCCCAAAGTATTCTCTCCTCCATTTTATCCTCACAACAGCTCTGTGAGGTAGGTCAGGCTGAGAGTGTGTGATTGGCCCAAGATCACCGAGTGAGCTTCCATACCAAAGTGGGGATTTGAACCTGGGTCCCCCAGATCCTGCTCTGATACCATAGCCCAGAGGTCCCCACCTTTGGAATTCTGAAACAGGGTGGTGAGCGCAACCAAAAATAAAATGGCTGCCACAGGAGGCAGAGCCGACCAGGAAAATATCAGGGAGTGGTCTCCACAGCGAATCCGATCTCCAGTGGCCAATCAGAAGCCCTGCTGGGCACCACACTGAGGACTCCTATGCTAGCCACTAGACTACACTAGCTCTTGAAATATTTATTGCTTTATCTGTATGTCATCTTAGTAATTTAATTACATATAAGTGGATATCAGGACAAAGACCGCTTTGGGGATCATCTGTTCACTAATAAAATGGGAATTTGCTCTGGGAACTTATCCTGTGGTCAGTATTCCCAAATTCCCCCTGTAAAAACACTTAATACTAAGGAATTGGTCCTGCAGAAAGTCTCTGATTTCCATCAGCATAGTGGAACTTCAGAACATCTCCTATGAGAAGCATAGTGGGGGCAGAAGACATCCAGGAATATTGTAAGGAGGAGAGTCGGGAGATCAGTTCAGATATGACCCAGCCATAGTTTAATTCAACTAACTGTGGTTAGCTTGATAGTGTGAACTCAGGACACTCCACTAAACATGGTTAGTTAGAAATGGTCACATATTAATCTGAAGTTTGTTCATTAACCACAGATGCTCCCAACTATGGTTTCACATGACTAACAAGCCAGAATGTCTGTATTTGTACTCTGGTGATGCCTTCCCAGACTAAGAGGAAAGGTAGTGAAATGAACATTAGTTGAGGCAAACCAAGATTCGAGTGATCATCTGTAAACTGAATCCTCTTTTCACAAATTAACTGCAGTTAAAGTAAAACATGATTTTGCGTAATACCTAAACCTATGTGTCCCATCCCTTTTCATGGGGAGCAACTGTTTAAATCTCATTCTAAATGAAGTTTATACTTTAGAGCTTCTGAAAGGTCAGAAAGGACAGATATATTTGTTGTTACACTTCAAATACCTAAACATTTATTTAGCACTTTGTTTAACTGCTTGGGCTATATTCTATTTTTAATTCAAAATCTCAGGGCAGAATGCATAAGAAGAAACTGTCAAGTGTGTGAGCACATCAATGGTGCCTATTTAGTTGCATTTCCACGTAACCCAATCCAGAAATCATTTTTCAAGTTATTTCAAACACTGCTCTCTTTTTCTTTGTAGCATGGAATAACACAAGCCAATGAGCTTGTAAATCTCACAGAGTTTTTTGTGAACCATATTCTACCAGATCTCAAGTCTCCTAATGGTAAGTCTAGAATTATACATGCAATCGCTCTTAAACATGAATACAAATTGATTAGGACTTCTGTAGCTCCTGCTTGCAGAAAGCCATTGTGTAACCACAGATTAAAAAACTCAGAAGTTACCAAGACTGTTTGGTTTATCTTTTGGGGAAATTTTAAGGAGATTTCTTTAAATTTTCATGAAAAATCTGGTGTTGCATGTGCTAAAGGAAGGCTGGAATTCTTCAGAATGGAAAATAGAGATAGGGATGAAGAAAAGCAAGTCATGTGTGGATGTGACATTTTACATATCACTCTGCAGTCTTAATTATCATTTAAAAATGGATCTCCACCAGTTGAAGCCCAAATGTCAGCTAACAAAACTAATGTAAAAGAAATTATAACAATTAAAGCAAGGGTGTCAAACATACAGACCATGGGCTAGAACCGGCCCATCCAGGGCTCTTATCCGGCCCACGAGGAGGAGGAGGAGATTGGATTTATTTCCCGCCCTTCACTACCCAAAGGAGTCTCAGAGCGGCTTACAAACTCCTTTCCCTTCCCCTCCCCACAACAGACACCCTGTGAGGTAGGTGGGGCTGAGAGAGCTCTGACAGCAACTGCTCTTTTTCAAGAACAGCTGTGCCAGAACTATGGCTTGCCCAAGATCATCCAGCAGGTGCAAGTGGAGGAGTGGGGAATCAAACCTGGTTCTCCCAGATTAGAGTCTGCGCACTTAACCACTATACCAAACTGGCTCTGTTCTTAGCCTGTGAAGGAAAAGGGGTCGCAGGAGGACAAAAAGCACCCCATGGAGGTTTTGAAAACAGGCTCTCTATCAGGCCTTCCCCTCAGCTCTGCCACTTGTAGGGGAAACACAAGAGGGATGAGAACTGGGGGTGGGGGGATCTGGGAGAGCCAGGCTTTTGTGAGTTCCCCAGGAAATCAATCACTTTCACTTCTAGGAATCAATAACTGGGTTCCCTGCATTCTTTATATTTATATCTCCGGTACTGGCATTACATTTTATGGCACGTGTGGCCTGGCCCAGTAAACTGACATTTATGTCAGATCTGGCCCTCATAACAAAATGAGTTTGACACCCTTGAATTAAAGCCACCCAAAATGTATATAAACTAAAGAACAAGTTGACAGTTGGATAAAGCAAAGGTCTGTACAGAATGCAACAGAAAACATCGACAATGGATTAATCTAACTGGGCGTCTCTGTCTTACCATCAGCTGGAGAGAGACTCTGTAAAGTTTATAAACTGGAATTGTGCCTTGTAGTTTATTCTTTCAAATGCTGTGCTGTGTTATTGAATTTTTATCCTGCAATACAGACAGCTGACGTAGCTAACTTTTTTTTTTTACAGTGAATGAATTTCCTGTGCTGAAAGCGGATGGTATCAAGTACATCATGATTTTCAGGAACCAAGTAAGTTGTAGTATTAGTCTGAATTCTGAAGTGTCTAACTGGAATAGTTTTATGCAACATACTATTTCATGTGTGAAGTATTCTACATGAGCTTTAAGAGATGTTCACGCCTTCGCATAACGTGTTTGTTTGGAGTGCAATATAGAGTATTTGGAAACAGAACAATTGGTTTGGATATTGTCCATCAGCTGAATGGAACTTTCCTGCCTCCTTTTCCCCACTGCGGACCACTGATCTCCACAAGATCCTGCTCTTGGGGGACAGGGGACCCTGAAGAGGGACACACAGAGGGATCTGCAGTGGGAATGGGGATCTGTGGAAATTGCCAATTTATCCTGGATTCAACCCATTATGTTAATCTGGGGGGGATTTGTTTGCTGATTCAAATACCTTAAAATCCAAGTGTTACTTGGATCACAAATAGTCTGCTGATGGGACACTGTCTTCTCTGGCGTCCAGGACATCTGTGGGAGGGCTCTGCGTGTGACTTCCACACTGAACAGCAGCTTAGGGCTTCTGCTTTCCTGCGTGTAATTTCTGCAAAACCTTACTTACTGTAACTATACTTACCTTGTAACTGACATCCAACAGCCAAGTGAATTTTACTTTGACTTGGCCCTACCATGATCTTGGTTTAATAGAAGGCACACTATCATTTTTAAAAGGTTTAAGAAAGACATGTCTATCAGTTAAAGAAGCCTATGGTCTCCTCTCTGTGTGCAGTTCTGGGCACCACACCTTAAAAAGGATATTATAGCTTTGGAAAAAGTGCAGAAAAGGGCAACTCGAATGATAAAAGGGTTGGAACACTTTCCCTATGAGGAAAGGTTAACACGCTTAGGGCTCTTTAGCTTGGAGAAAAGACGACTGAGGGGTGACATGATCGAGGTTTATAAGATTATGCATGGGAAAGAGCAGGTAAAGAAAGAGGTACTTTTCTCCCTTTCTCACAATACAAGAACTCGTGGGCACTCCATGAAACTGCAGAGCGGTCGGGTTAGAACAGATAAAAGGAAGTACTTCTTCACCCAAAGAGTGATTAACACATGGAATTCACTGCCACAGGAAGTGGTGGGTGCTACAAGCATGGACGGCTTCAAAAGGGAATTAGATAAGCATATGGAGCAGAGGTCCATCAGTGGCTATTAGCCACAAGGTATAGAGCAGAAAGTATTGTAGTTCATACATATGCGGCTCATGCACTTGAAAGACTATTTACAATGAAAGGGGCGAACAACACAACACTGTAAGTTTGTATCTGTTGTGGGGTTTTTTTTTTCTATTTGACTGCTCATTTATTTCTTCATTGCTCTAGTGAGATTACCTCTTTTTTGTTTAAAGTATTTTAATTGATCACAGCATGCACATTGAGATAGTTCTAAAATCAGGTTCCTTTCAGCTGACTGAACAATTGTCTATGTTCCAGTTCTAGAGAAGCTTTATAGTGTGTTGGCCTTCTCTGTTTCTGTTTCTTGTATCTCCCTGAAATAGAAGGCTTCTTACATTCTCTCTGGTGTCCAGTTGGCATAGACTTTCTTCTCTAGAGGGGACATGGGGGGGGGGGAAGCTGGGCAATTTGAAAATCTCTAGAGATCCTTGAACACTCTGCCTTTTCTTCTGCAGAATTACAGCTGCAGAGATGGCTCCATATGTTGAAATTCTGCTAACAAACCTTTTCAAAGCCCTGGCACTTCCGGGATCATCTGAAAATGAATATATTATGAAAGGTAAGAGGTTATATTAGGATGAAAAGGCAAACTCAGAGTACATGTGTGCATTCGAGTATACACCCACCCACCACTGTGTCCCTTCCTGCCAAATAAAACTGTTTGTTGCCCTAGGGTTGTGCAAAGGGAAAAACACAGAACAGCCTCACCTACCACCTAGTCCACCAGCAGCTGCTCAGAGCCTACCTACAAGAAGTCCATTAGCAAGGGCTGTAGAGCGTTTCCTCCTTCACTGACCACAGGCATGCCAGGTCCAGAGACCAGCATGTTCCCTTCCTTCTGGCACAGATTGTCAGAACAGCCCATTCTGCAAACTTCAGGCAATATCTCTGGATCTTTGGCCACTATCTTTTCTTATTTTTTTCTTGTGTGTGTATGTATGTTAAAAAGGAAAATTGTCAGTTAGTTGGCTATCCTTGAACTGCAAAGGGCAGAGTATGAATACATAAATTTTATTCTGCCCATATAGCCTCGGTAGGCTTGGTAGACTGAAACAACCAGCCATGTAATATTTTTTTTATTCAGTGCTCCTTAATACGCAGAGCAGTTTACAGGAAACCCCCCCCCCACACACACACACTAACCCAGTAAGGTTGTGGTGACGTTCCATTTGAACAAAAGGCAGCTGAAGCCGGGAGACAGCGAGTTGTTCTGAATGAGCTTGGAGTCACCGTAGCTAGGTGTCGTGTGGTCTAACACAGGATCACTGATTTGGTTTCCCGAGGACTGAAAGCTCTAAGGGGCCACATAGCATGTCTTCTCACTGTTGTTCTTTTAGACCTGAGCCTCAAAACCAGACGTCAGTTTGGACCTCAACAAAGAGTAAACCTCCAACGATTCCCTTTGCTTTACAAAGTTCTTACTGTAGTTGCAGCATGTTTTCTGTAAGACATAAACATGGGTGCTTGTAAAAGGACACTGCAATCCTTCCTGCCAATATTAATACAAATCTCTGAATTTCCAGCCATCATGAGAAGCTTTTCATTGCTTCAGGAAGCCATCATTCCTTATATCCCTTCTCTCATCACTCAGCTTACGCAGAAACTGCTTACTGTCAGTAAGGTAAATATATACAAATAACAGTCTTTATTAATCATATCGCCCTCTGTTTTCTTTTTGTCGGCCTGATTAGATGCTTGTTAATAGTCAGTCTGCAGACAACAAGCCTTGCTTGTAGATCTGGTGCAGTGATTACAAAACCAAGCTGGGGATTAGATTGAAAAGTATGCTTGTGTGAACAGAAGACACTTTAACTCATGCAAAAGATGAAGAGGAGTGCCATTTCCACAGACTGAATACTTGCTGTCCACCACTGTTCCCAAGAATCCCCCAAGCTCAAGGGCAGCCTTTCAGGTGACAAGGAGGTCTTCAGAAATCAAAAAAACAGGGGCAAGTCAGGAGGCAGGAAGAGGCCTTCTGCAAGTGAAGCCTCTCTGGTCTTGGGATCCAACCCAAAGAAAGAGATTAGACAAGACCCAGAAGTGCACTCAGCTAGTTTGTGTGCCCAGATGTGTTTGAACTTGTTACTTGAGAAGTAGCCCCTGCAAAAGTGGGTGTTTGTGAGGTAACAAGGGGGGGGTCTGCTTTGGTGAGGGGAAAATCATGGTTGATTCACAAACACTTGTAAGTCTTCTCTTCATATGGAAGCTATAAGCGTTAAACATACCATGGTTTAGAGTGTGAAAATGAATGCTGGCTGCTATGGGCATTTTACATGCCGCATATTCAGAATCTGACATACATCCAGCATTTGTTCTAATCTCTGATCGCTCCATGGTGTCACGGTAGAGCCAGGGAGGGTGGGTCACAAGACAAGTCCGAGGGTCAGCCGGGAGAGCAGTCAACAGAGCGTTAAACAAGTCCCAAAACACCAGACACAGCCGTAGTCAAACGTTACCAGAGGTCAGAGTCCAGAGAGCACAGCCGAGAGGGTCGTCAGATTCAAAGCTGGGAGTCAGGAGCCAGAGCAGAAGTCCAAAAACACAAGCCGAGTCCAAAAAGCTCTCCTGCAGACCATGTAGCCACATTTTGGTCTTATGAACACAAGTCCGCTTGAAACCTTGTTAAAAGGATTGTGACCTGTGCAAAAGCACTGCTATTGATGTATGCAGGAGAACTTCCTGCTGTGCTTTTTAGTATTTGTCTTGACTTCAATGACTAGTAAAGGATAACCACTTGCCTCAGACTTAATCTAGAAATCTAGATACCGATTAGTTGCTGGAGAAGTGGACATTTTGTCCAGAACACTGTGAACAGAATACTGAATGCCATTCCCCCCCCCCCCCTGCAAAAGAAGTAGCCCCTGCAAAAGTGGGTGTTTCTGAGGTAACGGGGGGGGGTCCGCTTTGGTGGGGGGAGAATCATGGTAGATTCACAAACACTTGGAAGTCCTCTCTTCATATGGAAGCTATAAGCGTTAAACATACCATGGTTTAGAGTGTGAAAATGAATGCTGGCGGGCGCCACATGTGGCTGTTTGACATTCCACTTGTGGCTCTTCTGAGTGCTGTTCTACAATGTGGCACTTGCCCCATGTTTTAAAAAAGTGGGCAAGGTGCTTGCCTTATGGGGATTGTGGTCGGCAGGTGGTCTCTGCCTTCAAACAGCCGCCGCCAGAGGAATGGAGTAAGCTGTGATACTAATGCCAGAGGTGGAAGTGCACGTAGCTCTTTTGGTTGACGGTAATTGTGAATGTGGCTCTCTACAAGCCATGGAGTGAGTACCAGTGATCTATATACCTTGATTTTAGCATGGTGTAAGGTTACTTCGTAGTTTAAGGCATATTCATGTATGAGAAGGCCCTGGTTATTCCAGGGAGGAGATAATGAGTTAGGTTACATACCAGTACTTGAAGTACTTGGCATGATTTGGGGAACTTGGGGATGCTCATGTAAGTAGTTAGCTGCCTGGTGTTCTGTGAGACAGTTTTCACATCGTCATGGTACACAAAACATCCTGTTTCTAGTTGGTACAAAATCACATCGGTGACTTTGTGCTGTTTGTTTGCTATCTTACCTTTAGAATCCAAGCAAGCCTCACTTCAATCATTACATGTTTGAATCAATTTGCTTGTCAATAAGGATAACTTGCAAAGCCAACCCCACTGCAGTTGGAAGCTTTGAAGAGGCGTTGTTCATGGTGTTCACCGAAATCCTGCAGAATGATGTGCAAGGTATGAATAAAATATTTAAGCTGCTTGGACTAAAATACACAAATTAGTTGATGGCACAAGTCAGATGCCGCAGAAAGTGCATATAGTTCAAATAACATTGGCTGGGATCCTAAGCAGTAGTACAGGAATCATGCTAAAGGTATCTCCCCCCCCCCT